AACAGAACAGCTGTACATTTAGTTTGGGAGGTACAGAATATTGTTTAAAGGAGCCCTGTGGATAAAAAGTGACCTGAGGGACTATCCAGCTAAACGCATTAAAGGCTTTACAGACTCTTGATGAAAGCATACACAGTAAACATGTGGATCAGTGGCTGCTTTTGCTGCCCGGAAGTAAAACAGAATGTCTTTCAAATTAGCATCTGAAGAAAAGAATAAGAAGACGGAGTCAGATTTTATGTAGCTAAACTGCTTCCTTGCTTTTTAAATGAATCACACACCAGTCTGTGTTTACTGTACAGTACTGACGGGATTGCTAACCGTGACGTGATGAGAGTAAAAGCTTCATATCAACATCCACGAATGGCTTTCATTGTATTTTATTCTCAGAGGAATTAAAGACTTTCTGCAAAAAAAGTAAAACAAGATTGTTTACTGACTCATCAATGTACAACACACATATAACTGAGCACGCATATTTGCATTAATAATGTACAACTTTTTTTGAAGCCGTAGGTGGACGAGTAAGACGATGTGCAAAGCTTTTCCCTGATTCCCAGAGTTACCCTCATTTTAACAGACAGATCCTATGCATCGCTTACCTACAGCTGTAATTACAGTCATCTTGGTCAGGTCAGTTCCAGCCATAAATCTGGTAAAGCCAAATCTACTGTTTACACCAATGAGCACAGAAAACGGGCCAGACATGGCTCACATTAGGTTGGATGAAAATAGTTTGCGAGTCAGGAGTTGAGCAATGGAAGTTCAGATACATTGCATTGCTGTTTCAGTACACTTACTGTCCATGCCGTCATCACCGATTGTCTTTCTTTCCCCAAAATGAAAAGAGTGTGGTCTACACAAGTACAAAGTAAAAAAATGAAAGTATTTACAAATGTATAAAAACAAGTACAAATGTTAAAAAACAACAAACGATGATTCGAGCACTTTTGCATGCAAACATTCAAGAATTTAAAAAAAGGATTGTTTTCAGATGCCTCTGCATCATCCTTATTCTGCTGTATGTGGAACATTGGCAGGATGAGTGTTTTTCTTTTCTCTTATATAAAACAGGAACTTTACACTGGCATTTGTTTTAGTGACATGGCCATTCAGAAGACAACTGTACTCCTTCTCTAGGGCCTGCGTATAAAGCTGTTAGTACAAGCTGTTGATCCTCTGCTCGGTCAGAATTCGTACAGTCTTCAGTCAAATGTTTTTGAGCCGGCCTGCGTGATCTCATTTAAAGGGAATGTCTATGTAATTCAAGCATCCAAGCAATTGCACTGTTGGGCTAGATGTGTACAAAAGTAGACAAATAGCTGAAAACAAGTTCTCGCTCCTCCTCGTCACAAGTCTGAAAGGCTACAGCCTGCTGAGGTTGGCACCTTGTTGCACCTCACTCGTAGTTACAATCAAAGATGGCTATGTGCTGGTGGAACTCTGGATTATGTTTTTCAGTCTTGTGTGACCACCTCCTGTCTCCCACGAGACTTCTACAGGCCAGGGCGAGGCGGAGGGCGGGCAGGTGGAGGGGCTCGTCCAGGAGGGGGTCCCTGGGGAAGAGGTGGCAGCAAGCCGGTTGGAATAGCGCAGGGCGGAGGCGTGGGTGAGAGCGCCGGTGGGGCGGGTATGTTCAAGGTGGTTGGAGGAAGAGCCCGGTTGGGAGGTGGTGTGTAAGGGGGAGGGATGGAAATGGGTGGAGGGGTTGGAGGCAGCGAGGAGAAGGGCGGCGCGCTGGGAGTCGGTGGTAGGGTGCCCTGCGGTGGAGGTGGATTCCTGCCAGGTGGGTTGTAGATGGGAGATGGGTGATTGTTGAAGTGTGGGTAGCTAGGGGGGGATTTTACACGGGTGAAGTTCATGCATCTGCCCTATAAAATTAAACAGAGTTCAGATTTTGTTAGCAAAGTGGAAAACGTGAAATGTTATCCATTAATTGATCAATCAAAGGCAAAAATTCACAATGAAAATTCAGACATTGAGTCTAAATGACAGAAAGGAAAAGGTCTGGCTCACATCATAGCCTGTATATAGAAGATGAATTTAGCCTATGGGTTTGAAAAGTGAGGCTCATAAAACATTTGCCTAAACCTGCTTTCTTTTGATGATCCAACAAGGTGTGACCTCTAAGGTTGCAAAAATATAATCTCACTGTGGTGACCCTACTGCTTACTTGGCGTATATTCACTATAAAAACGTTATTAATGATTTTATTGTCTTGGCAACTAGCTTGAAGTCTAATAAGACATTTCAGAACAATAAGATGATATTTGCATTTTCTAAGAGCCAAAGCAAAATTTCATACATTCATAAACTACTGCCATAAAGTGCACGTACTATATTTTAACATACTATTTGAATAATATCAACTGTTTGCAATAAATCGTGGCTAAAAAGCAGATCAGATCTGCCCGAACATATTTTGCAATCTGTCAGTCTACTGTTTATCTCGGCTTTCACTATGCAGAGTGAAAAATATCTACATCTATTTACTCTGGCTGAGGCTGTAAAACTTTCTGAAAGTAGTCAGATATGAGTCGGTCTGTTGTTGAAGCTCACTTTTGACCACTGACACTGATACTGAGTTGTTGAGGATATCCTGACCTTGTCTGCTACTGTTAGCCTCTGTTAGCTACTGTTAGCCTATGTTAGCTGCAGTTAGCCTCTGTTAGCTGGCATTAGTGAAACTGTCTTTGAAGTAGATCTAACATTGTGTGACTCTGGCACTTAGCAAATAAACTCTCATATAATGTGAGAATCAAACTGCTTGTCAGAGAGAAAGTAAGATTCATCTTTGCTTCAAGGACACTCGTAGGCTTGTTGGCGGTAACCACACGCTGATAACCAGCTGATGTTTTTTGTTTAGCTAGCTCAGTATCTGGAGACAGGAGAGTCACATTTCAAATCTGCTGAAAATAAGTAATTGTGACAATATCTGGAATAAATAAGGATGTTTATGCACATTTTTATCTGTTACAGCCCCATCTTCAGTTCAGGAGATTAGTCTTGGGGTGAGGAGGAAGAGTTGTCTCTTTTCTTTTGCATTTTGGCTTGTTTGTTGAGGAGTACCCCTTCTTAGATGATAAAACATAGGTAAGAATTCACATTTTACTCCAACACACTGTTATGAGTTCTCTTTTCCTTCATCTTTGGCATACTACGTACGCTATATGTAAAATATATCCTATCACAGTACCAGACTGGAATTCAATGAGCTCCTGAGAGTGACCTATTCTTTCACAAATGTTTGTAGAAGCAGTCTGCATGCCATAAGTGCTTGACTTTAATTCACCGATTTGGGTGGGTGCAACATATTTTGGCAAAATAGTCCCATATCCATCTCAGCCATTGCACTCAAGAAAGTGGCGCCAGCTCCTATATTTTTAATTAATTAATTCTAAGTTTATGAGAAAGTTAGTACTAAGTAAAAACATAGGATCTATGACATTTTTTAATTTATCTGCTGCTCTTTTTTCATTTGATCAAACAATAACTTCAGAATTTGAAGGGTGAAGAACCAATGTCTCCACTTTTCTGAACTTTCTTTGACAAAACACACACTTTCCTGCTTTGACAACTCCCTCTCACAAAAGCCTTTTCCTGTTGTCTGTACACAGCTACATAATGTGTATTTTAATGTCAGCAGACCTTAAAAATGTGCTGTAATTCTCAGTCCCAGCTTAAATTTTGAGAAGCTATGCAGCTATTTCATTGGACAACTTGACCTGCCATCATTTACGCCCATTCAAAATGAAGTGAGGTCATTCAAGGGAGATATACATCATCATCATCATACTCCAGAAACAAGTTACACCCCTGGAGCAGCTGCACTCAGTCGACCCAGGAGTTGCAATAGGCTGATAAGGAATGTGTCTCTTATTTAACACTGAGGAGAAATGACTGTTGGGGGGAAAGAAATAGGCCAAATGCTGCATGCTGTACAGTTCATCTTATACTGAATATCATAGATCCTTATGTCTCTTGGGCTCCTGGACTGTATCATACTTGTATCTACATTCACAGTCAGTCACTACTGAAATATGTGATGGTTCAGTAACCCAGTAACCTGCTGTGTTACATCCTCTGATTTTTATTTTTAATTACTGAAAAGACCCCAGTCTTTAAGGCTCACAAAAGCGACACGTAACAGGGTTTTTCTCCAGCAACAACTGGATCAGCTGGCTTCCTCCTCCCCGCTGCTCCACTCGTTTAGGGTGAGTTATAAAAAGGCTTTTAAAATAGACTCCTAATTGCAATCAGAACAAGCTTTCTGCTCAGAAAGTGTTCACTGCTCAGAAAGTATTTTTCTTTTCCAGTAAGCTAATGAAAAGCTTTTATAGTGAGGAAGACACACTTCGACACTTTGTTTCTCAGTGATCTGGGTGCTGGTTAAAACGTCCATAAACAGCATAATACAAAAAGTACTGTCAAGAGAATGAGCTGCCTAGTTAGTTCTAAATATCCTGTATAATATTTTATAATAAGCTTGAAAGCTTGTTATAAAATGCCTCTCGGGCACAAAAGAGCATCGCAGACAGGCCGAGGCTGAAGTAAAAAAGGGTGAAATCGGCTCCTCAGGCTCGTTGCATCCACAATTACAAGTTAAAACTCTATCATGCAAAGAAAAAAAGAACACTTATTTCTTGTTTGTTTGTTTTTAATCAGGAAACGCCTTGATTATTTTAGCAGAACAGTGCCAAACTGCATTTTGCATGTATTACAACACCATGACTGTAGAAAACAAGCCGGGTTGCTAAACTGGCTCACCTACATACAGACCTTTTACCCACTAAAAACATGTGGCTCACTTCAAGACAAAAAAAATACAGCAAAGGAGGCTAAGAAATAGTTTAAAGTATGAATCCTGATAAGTTTGCCTTGAGATGTAATTTCCCATCCTCTTCAGCATGACCTGAGGGTCTTGCTGGACTGTCAGTGTATCTCTTTAAGGAAATGCTGCATAACTGCACTGATGAAGATGAAGAAACCTGGCCGTATAATAACACATCAGTCTGAAAATTCCAGAGGCTTATTCATGCCAAACAATTATATTTCTTTTGTAACTGCATAAACTATGGACTATATAACTATGGACTATACTGGTGAGCTTTGCTGAACTTGTTAGTAACTGGTTGGTCTGCTGTTTGCCTTTAGAACTGCTTTAATTCTACATGGCATAGATTCAGCAAGGTGCTGGAAGCACTCCTCAGAGATTTTAGTCCACATTACCATGACAACATCACACAGTTGCTGCAGATTAATGTGAATCTCCTGTTTCACCACATCCCAAAGATGCTCTATTTGATTGAGATCTGCTAATTGTTAAGGCCACTGGAGTTTCGTGAACTCATTATGAAGTCATTTTGAGATCATTTGAGGTTTGTGATGTGTCGTGTTATCCTGCTGTCAGATGATGGGTACACTCTGGTCTGAAAATGCTCCAAGAAAATATCCCCGGCACTATTACATTACCAGGGTTCCACCAGAATCATTCATACAGGATTGGATGGATCGAGGCTTTCATGATGTTTATGCAGAATTCAGTACATGCGATTTAAATGTCCCTGCAAAAACTGAGACGACGTGTGAATTGTGGCCTTAGATTCTTATTCTCAGCTTACAGAGATGGCACCTGCTGCTGCTGTGGTCTTCAGCTGCTATAAACTAAATCTGTTTTAAGATATGTGTCCGGTGCTTCCAGAGATGCTCTTCTGCATACCTTTGTTATAACAAATAATTAGCTGAGTTATTGTTGCCTTCCTATCAGTCTGGGAGTTCTCCTCTGACATCAACAAGGCGTTTTCATTTTCCGCAGAGAACTGCTGCTCACTGGGTATTTTATTCTTTTTCTGGCAATTCTGATGGTTTTGAGTAGATCACCATGTCTGCATGCCTAAATCAGTTGCTGCCTGACTGACTGATTAGATATGTGAATTAATAAACAGCTGAGCAGTTGTACTTAACAAAATGGCTGTTGAGTTTATAATATGCATATGCATAACATTACAAAAACATAGGTTTAAAAGCATGCATAACTGGTATTAACTGTAGTAACTGGGAGTAACTGGTATTCTCACTAGAAGTTTAAAATAAAAGAAAGGTGGGCTACTAATATTTCTTCCTACTCTCATCTTCAAAATTCTCCTTTATGTTTCAACACAGCTGTGTGTCACCTTATACAGCTCTGTGCAAACAATAGGAGCAGCTCCTCCCTGGAATGGCATTTAAAGGCCTATCTTCTAGCAGAAAATCCTGTCCGGGTTGTTATTGAGTCAAATCTGAAACTAGCTCAGTGTACTTTAGATTTACTCGAAACACTTAAGAGTTACAGTAGTTGCAGAGAAAATTCTAGAAAATGTAAAAAATGATTGTTTAAATGTGCCAGAAATGTCTTTTCACCCTGTGAGGGTAATGGTTTTAGATCAACACTCTGACCCAGAGAAATGTGAATCATTACATAAACGCTTGCGGTGACATTTTTAGACACATAATTCCCATTTTTCACCGCATACAGACTCTACTGTCTCTGACTTCATGTTAGCTTCCAACTGCAGCGGTCACTGCACTGTCACCCCCACTGCAGCTGGTCTTTGAGGAATTTCATTTTGTTTTTTCATAATGACTTCACCAGACGCTTTTACATTGCTGCGTACTGTCCAATCCCACTGCAACTTTTCCCATGAGTCTCGCTGTGCACACTTCATTGCTTACAGCTGGTCCATTTTCTCAACATTTTCACATACAATCGATTTAATTGCTAATTTTCATTTGCCAAAAGCTAATGCACAGCCAAGCCTGACGTCAGCCCGTGAAATGCAGAACGATTTACAATGCACGCTCAGTGCATGCCAGTGCAGGGTTGGTGCTGCTCTTACCTTGTCACCTGGATGAGGTCTCATTACAGACACACGGTCGTAGCCTTTTCTTAAAAGCACCCACAATGCATCCAGTTTGCTCTGTGGAAACGGAGAAGAGACCAAAATGTTTAAGAGAATGTAAAATCCTACATTGGTTTCTGCTTCCAACCCTTGTTTTTTTTTGTTTTGTCTTCTTTTTCACACAAATGACTTCAGCTGCAGTTTGATGTATCGTTTAATTCATCCATTTATCTCAAAGCGACACGGTGAAATGGTTTCAGTCCACTGTAAGTTGGCACTTCATACTTTTCAGACGCAGCAAATACTTTGAGGATAAGAGCAGAAAAAATGCAGCTGTTTTTGCTCACAAAAACTCCTGGCTGTGCAGCCTTTCTCCCTGGAGGTCAGTCCAACAGAAGTCTGGTTTCTATTAGCAATCCCCTGCTGACTGGGAAGACTTCAGAATGACTCCTTTAACCCCACGCTGGTCCTGGAGGAATGGGGCCGTGTGCCAATTGTCACCTAAGCTTTAATACCCTAACACATCTCGGGCTATTTTCACCAAAACACCATACTCGTACTAACATATCCTCAGCCAGATTAGCATGGAGTAATCTGTGGCAGATGCTGTGTTATATGTAGTATGCGCCCCAGCAGAGCTGTTAGAAACCATGATTCCCACACTTCAAATACTTTTTAAACTAATAACTCTCAAATTCTCCAGTATTTACTCATTTTTAAGTGGCTCAGTTAAAACTCATATCCTGTTTGCTTTAAGTTGTTTAGGTAACACTTGTGAGGAATGATTCAGGACAACAGTGATAAGCTGTTCCTCAGTACTTCCATGATCACGTCTGACTCAGGACATTATAGTAAAACTCAGTTCCAAAAATGTTCGGGTGCTGAAAACGTATTAGATGTTTCAAGTGAGACATTTTACTATTTCTTTTTTTAAATATTAGCTCGTTTTGAATTTGATGGCAGAAACACATCTTTTAAAAAAAAAGAAAAAAGTGAAAGTGGAAAACTGTTCTGTGGTTAAATTCTTTTTGGAAAACATGCACTCCGTGTCCTTCGAACTAAAGAGGAGAGGGGCCATCCAGTTTGTTATCAGCGTCAAGTTCAAAAGCCTGCGTCTCTGATAATATAGAGTTGCACTGGTGCCTATGATATTAGAAACATACATTTGGAAAGGCACCAACAATGCAGAAAGGCCGATACACGTTTTACATACACTCCCATCCACATAAAGTGTTTTTCAGAGAAGATCTTCCATATATCACTATAATCCCAAACTCCATACGTCTATTAGAAAAGCGTGGCATCATAGATGAAGAGTCTGGGTTCTGAATTAGTAGACGAGATCTTTCCACCAATTGAAAACATTTGGAGCATCATGAAACGAAAAATTCAACTATGTTCTGTCATGAATAAAATACTGTTAGATGAGATTTTGTTTCATATTTACATTTTACACAGCATCAAAGCTTTAATTTACAAAAGTATTCTTAGATATCGATTACTGAAAACCATCTGGGGCAATGGTTTTCAGTAATCAGTAGGCAATGGTGAAATAATCTTTACCATTGCCTACTGTTTGTGTTCCCTTAGTGAAGCATCATACTGAGTTTCTCAGTAGTTTCTAATGAGTAATCATATATAACACCCCCCCACCCCCACCCCCGTACCTTAATGGGTGAGTACCAGTTGCGTGGCGCCGGCGGTTTCTGCATGCCATTGTTAAGAACCCGAGGGGGTGGCGACACATACTCCTGGTCAGGCATCTTCACTTTGGCATTTTTGGCCTTCTCCAGCTTTGCTCCTTCTTCAGTGGAGCCTTTCTCACCCCAGCGAACCTCCATCCTTTTGATCCCCCCTACGCCTCTTCCTCCATAGTAGGAGGCATCAACAGTCGGCCATTTCTTCTTGGGGGCTTCAAAGTCCTCATCATCCTGCGGGAGAGCAACAGGGAATGTTTTTTTTAAATGTATTTGTTGTTTAACCATTTCGCCAATGTTTATCACCCCTTAGCTTGAACTAAGAGGCAGTAAACATTCAGTACTGTGCAAAAGGTCCTGGCCTGCCCCTTATTTCTTTACACATTTCTAGGAAAAAGCGAAATAGGAGCAGCAATTTATTTAAACATCTGCTAACTCACATGCATGGAAATCCAGTATATAAGGCAAAAAAAGAGTTTTGATATTTGGTATGATCACCTTTATTCTTCAACAGAGCCTGAAGTGTCTTAAATAAGCTTTCCTGCCTTTTGTTCCATTCTCTGTCAAGAAGATCCCACTCTGCTTCAATAATGCGTAACCGATGACTGATCGTGTTCCATTGTGTGTTTTTCTGTCCAGGTACACTTTTACTGCATTGGCAGTGTGTTTGGGATCATTGTCATGATGAAAAACGAAGCTGCTGCCAATTTGATGCTTTCCAGATGATATGGCACAGTGGATCAAAATCTGATGGTTGTTTTTTTGTGTTCGTATTTCCATCAATTTTGACAAGCTGCCCAGCGAGCGCCACTGGCTGAAATGCATCACCAAACCATGACAGAGCTTCCACGTGTTTTACAGATGTTGTAGGCACTCACTCACTCCATAAGTACTGACGCTAATTTGAACAAATTTGGATTCCTCACTCTTGACTGCCACCCTTTCACTGAGATGAATTCTGATGGAGCTTCAGTGAACAGTAGATGGAACGACTGAAGTGCCAGATGCATCTCTCGGATCCTGTGTCAGGTCTTTTTCCCTATTTCTTGAGGACATTTCCAGATACTGCCCATCTGCTGCAGATGTCCCTTTCTTGTCCAGTTTCCTCAAAATTTTTAAGGACACACTGCACAACATGCAGAGATATACCAAGTGTAACTCGTTTTGAATCATCTTGTTCATGAAAAATACTATTTTATGCCTGTAACACTGTATTATCTTTGGCATGTTTTATGAAACAGGAATATTTCTGTGTTTTTGCCACAGGCTGTTGTAACAAAGTGCTGAAAGATACAGTTTAAAAAATGGTTCCCTGCCAATTTCCAAAGAAAGCCTGGAGAACTATTGCTCAAGAAAACTATGACAAAATAGCCCCTCTTGGAAGCAAAATATAAAGAAAGAGGAGTGGCACAAGACTTTTGCACAGAACTGCTCTCTTATTTGTTACCAGGCAAACTGGAATGAATGCCCCTCTCTCTCTGTCCTTCCTATCCCTGAGCTGTCATTATGTCCCCATTGCTCTAGTTTGTCTGATCAAAGGAAATGAAAAAGCCCACTAGCCAAACTTGTGATGTTTCAGCTCTTTAATACACCCTGTCTGTCTCGTATCCTACCAGGATGTCGCACAGAGGAGACCGTAATAAAAGCAGTCTTTGAGGCCGTGGATGTCACTGGCATGTAAATTCAGCAGTTAAACCTAATTTTCTGTTTAATTTTGTGCAAACAGATGCAGCCTGATACGTCCCACAGCTGCAGCAGCGTGTTTGAGGACTGTTAAACTGTATTGAATCGAGTAATTTGGACTTGCGGTTTGATCTTAAAACTAAATTGAAATTATGTTTTTGAGTTATTGAGTTATTATTATTGAGTTTTTAAACTTCTTACTGCAGGTCCAAATGGTTATAATTTTTAAAGGCATAAATTAAAGTCTTGGACACAACAGCAGTGCTCTTACAAACAGCAGAAATGGTGTGTGTGCGTGTGTGTGGCGGGGTGCTGTAAAAGTCACGATGCCGTTGTTCTGAGAGGGCGTTAACTCTCGTCAAATGAATCAGAAAACGAGTGTTGAAAGTTTAAAGCTGGAAAGTCAGTGACGCCGTGTGGTCATTGAGGTTTACGCTGTCACTCTAACAATTACATAAGCTAAACACTGGCAGCTGTCGAAGTCTTAAATCACAAGCACTCTTTTTCAGTCTTCACAAAACAGATAGGAGGCGGAGATTGTGAAGCTCCTACCGAACTATCCTCCACAGCTGGCGGCGGTGGTGGTTCGTGGATGATCTGCGGGCGAAATAAAAGAGGGGAAGAAAAAGCAGAGTGAATGAGAAGAAAAAGATGGAGAGCATTGTTTAACATCAGGAGATGACAGAAGTCGTAGAGACATGTTTGAAAATGCTTTTTGCGTGTCAGAACAATGCGCGTTTTATGCACAGTGACGTGGCTACACAACAGCAAATGACTGAGAAATGTTTTCCCTCTTAGTCTCTACAACTTACAAGAGCAAGGCGCTGACCTAGAAATCTGCTATCCAGATTTTTTGCCTTGAGGTTGCTGGTTAAAGCAAGAGAAGAGTAACAACCTCATAAATGCCACATTATGCCTTTTAGTTTTATGGATAACTTTTATAGTATTTATACGTTAGTTAGTATCACATAAATACGGAAAGAAAAACAATTTATCCATCTACTTCGATGTTATGCAACTCAAAATGTGGATGAATGCACAACAATGTACACCGCTGCTATCCCCATGTAAACTTTTTCCTCACTGCATGAGCCGTCAGGGTTTTTTCACAGGTAACAGATTCATCTCCACTAAATGCATTTGGCAAATTAAGTCACTCTGATTCTTATTTGTGATTTTCCTGCACTCTTTTCCAAATCCTGGAACAAAAAGAAGAAAAAAAAAGACTCCCTTGGTAACCTAGTGTCGTTTTTTCCCAAACACACTTGCTGCACGAACTTCAACTTGCAAGCGAATTGACATGGACAGAAAAAGAGTGAAGGGAGAGAAAGCTGTGTTGTAAGAGCTGACATCTCTCTCTGGCAGGGCTCAGCTTTCCTGTTTCCAGCTCCAATGGAAACACTGCAGAGCATTTTGAAGAGACACCATGCCCGTGACAATTTGAAAGGAGATGTACGGATTTGTACAGAGGGCATGTTGTAGCAAGTGAGTTTGCTGAAATACCGTGATGCTAAATAATCCCACAAACATGTTTTTGGAAAGCATTTCCTCATTTCACCGAGTCCTGAGCAGATGGCTTTTGCACAAGTACAAAAAAAAAAAAAGAAATTCTTTACTTGGAATCAGTTATCCCGCTACTTAAAAACTTCATAGTGACAAAGATATCAACCAAAACATTCAGGCTATAGAGGCTTTTGTTTCCACACCACTGGCAACAAATCAAGTAAAGCCATTTATGGTAGAAAAATCTGCTACAAGTTACATCTCTTTAAATGAATATGCTGACTTGGAGGTTACCTGCAGTAACCTCTGGAAACGCAAATAATTTTAGGAGAGGTTTAATTGCTTAAACGCATGTTCACCTGATGGCCGTGACTATTTACTGGTTGTGGACTAACTTCAGCAACAAAGATCCCTCAGGAACAGAGTGTTTTTTAAAGTCCAGTAAAAATTAACTCTTTACAACCTAAATCATAAAAAATTCCATTTTTGGGGGAAAATTGAGTGTTTTTTGAACCTTTGGATTAATTAAAAAGAAATGAATCAAATATTAGTTTTAATATGTATCACTTTTTTTTTTCTGCAAGATGCAAGGATCCAAAGGAGGAATACTGATACACAGACTCCAGGCTTCACTATATTGTCTGTGGTATCAATTAGGACGTAAATGGCTCGGCTACAGCCCCCATACTCTTTGTAGCCATGTAAAATGTAAGAAGGAGCAGGCTGAGAGCAATCTGTAAAGCAGCACGAGTGCATGTTTTCGTTGCGTTTTTTGCTTCAGGGAACTGACCACAGTGCAGCACAGAGGCCAGAACCACCAGAGGAGAGCCAAGACCAGGAGCAGCATCAGGATGAGCAGAGCTACGGCCAGGATGGTCCCATCAGACTGTAAAAGAGACAGACACGTCAGCATAGGCTGTCTGAACACAAAGAGCGCTGGATGTAAACCACTTTTGTATTCCGGTCTGTAGCTCCACACTCTGTGCTGCTCCAAGCCCCTGCTAAAGGCCAAATGCCCCTATATCTTATTGTACTCACACAGCTCACGGTGGTAATTGTGACCGAGCTAGAGATGAAACTGAGACCCTCGTTCATGCTGACATAAAGATTTGCTGCCCTGGCAAAGAAAAAGAAAAATATCTCAGCCCTGTTTTAACCTCGAAAAGCAGAGCAGAGGGTTTCATTTGAAACCTCACATTTATTTAAGTAAATTACACGACTTACATCCCCTCCTCTTCAAGCACCGGGGCAGGGCAGAGTAGATATGTATCTTCCACAACCAATGGCTTCACCACTAGAGAAGCAGAGGGGAAAAAGGGTCATGAAAAACAGCAAAAGCATGAGCCAAACTTTCCTGACTGGAATTGTGAGCAGTGTTCAAGGACACATGCAGCTCCTGAAACATGTTTTCACCTTCAAATCACCGTTTATTATCACTTCACTTTGCCAGATTGCAGTAAAATGAATTTATTGACTGATTAGACATGACTTCAATTTAATTCAACAAATATTTGACAACAAGAGCGGAAACTATGCATTTGTTAACAGAAGTCGAATGATGTCACATCTTTCACTGTAAGTCGATTGACAAACAATCAGAGAGGACCACATCTGCAAAACAAGCACTTTGTTGTTTTCCCATCTGAAGGCATCTGCACCCTGCTCAGGAATGCCAATACAAACAATTTCACCACACTTTTTGTTTTTCTGGCAAAATGTAGGTCTTCTCCTCATCCAGCTGGTTGTCCAGAAAAGAGGCTCCAACAAGCATCATCGCGCAAGCCTGTCTGCTTATCCTGGCAAGGCGAGCGCATACCCCAGAACTGAGGAAATCAACACAAGCGGCTGCTCTTCTCTAAAAAAACACAACGGAGGAGGGAGAGGAAGAGAGGCGAGAGAGGGAGGCAGCAAGGCCAAAACAGCTCCACGCCGCCACGAACTGGGACAGATGTCAGAGTTCAACTCTGCACCCACCTTGCACTCAGAGTGGCCTTACAGCATGAAAGCAAAGTGCAAACTTTGTCCAGCTCAGAGCTGATGAAACACGATTTGCTGCAGTTACATTTTTCCACAATTTAAATCCGTGGTGGATAAAAGGATTCTGGCAGGCATTCGAAGTCAGTGTCATAAAGGTTTATAAGACTGTTTACTCCCCAAGCTCAGAGAGAGGTCATGTTTAACTGGGAGGTGAAGACAGATGACTGAAGTTCATCTTCAACCACTTAATTATTTGGAGTTATTGCTTAAGATTATGGCTGATTTTTGAGAGGTTAGTCATCCTCTGTACCATACTATAAACTCAGTGACACTGGTTAAATACAGCTGAGTTCTGAAGAATCTTACAGTTGCAAAAGCAAAAAAGCACAGATGGTTACTTATGCTTTTTTCCCAGCCTGCACTGTGAGAGTTCTCAGGAAAGCATTGTGTGAAGCACAACCATTTGCGTCTAATTGGTTTAGTCAGACTGCCTGTGTCTGTGATTGTAACCGTAGATGAAGATCATACATCACAGGGTTCTGTTCAGCTTGGGGGAAAATCCCCTTCTTGCCAGGAATAAGATGCTCATACTTCTAAACCAGGAGGTGGCAAGATTGGCTTAGCGTAAAGATGGTAAACCAGAGGAAACAACATAGGTAACAAAAATCTTCCTACCTCTTATTAACAAAAGCCACGGTCCTGATAATATTAGTGGCCGCCTATTTAAATCTTGTGCTAGAGAACTCAGTCTTATATTTCAGGTTATTTTTAATAAATCCTTGCAAATGCAACATGTGCCCTCTCTTTGGAAAGAAGCTGTCGTTGTTCCTGTCCTTAAATCTAGTCACCTAAAAGTTCTGACTGATTTCAGGCCTGTTACCCTCACCTCAGTCGTGATGAAAGTCTTTAAAAAACTTATTAGATTACTGGATCCAATCCAGTTTGCATAGAGAGGAGTGGAGGATGCACCATTGACTCTACTTAATCTGATTTCTAAACATGTAGAGAGTAAAGGGACTTTTGTACGACTTCTGTTTACCGATTTCTCCTCTGCTTTTAATAAAATACACCCCAATATTTTAATCTAAAGACTTTAAGAACAGTTTGAAGTTGTGAAAAACCTGGTGGATTAGATTTTAGACTATTTAGCTGACAGGTCACAAAGAGTGAGAATAAATGGGGTTCTGTCTGACCCACTGTTCTCCTCTACAGGTTTCTCCCCAAGAGCGTGTGTTATCGCGCTTATTATTCATTCTCTATACAAACATGTGTCAGAGCAGATAGGAAAACAGCGCCATCATTAAATACGCAGATGACTCTGTTATTGCCAGCTTACTTAAAGAGGGTGAAACTACACACAGTCCAGTTATTGATGACTTTGTTCAGTGGCGTGAGGAGTCTTAACTCCAACTGAACATATCTAAAACAGAAGATATGGTTCTTGATTTTAGGAAGCAACAAAATGGGCATGGAGTCACTTTAATTAAAGGGTCACCAGCACATTTAGTGCCTTAGGAAATTTGCTCATTTCCACATTGACCGGACAATCGTTCTGTTATTGAGTTTGTTGTATCTTTTTGTTTGGTAGCATGGTTCGGTTAGACCTCTGTCACAGAGAAAAGCTCACTGAATCAGATAGTGAGACACTCCAGTCGTCTTATATGTGAGTCATGGCCCTGTCTGGCTTCCCTGTATTCTAAACAGCTACAGAGGAATGGCTTTATAAATCCTTAATAATGGCTCCCATCCTTTATGGGGTGAATTTCAGCTTCTCTCCTCTGGATGGAGGTTTCTAGTCCCAAAGTGTAGGTCAAAGAGTTATAAAAAGAGCTTTGTCCCTGCTGCTGTCACTGAACTTAATAAAAACTGTTTTATTTAATTAATCTTGATCTTATTTATATTGTTTTTTTTTATCACTTGTCTAATTATCAAATATGTGTTTTTGTGTTTTGTGAGGGGATGCCAAATGCAATATTTTTTTTCTGTACAGCAAATTTATCTACGGGTATAAATAAAGTAACCTTGAACCTTAATGTCTTATATTATATCAACGGTGTGACATAAACCACATTTATTCAGTGTCATACTATGGCTCAAACTGTCAACTTTAAAAGTGCTGTTGAGTGGATTTGGTCACATGTCGACAGGGCCAGGTTAGCCGCAGCTTCATGTTTATCAAACAGACACGGGACTTGTGTGGATCGTTTCATCTAACCATGTTAATTTCTTCTTGTCTCTTCTTTCACCCTTCCCACAGTTGTCCAGTACAACATCTGTCACAAAAACAATGAATAGCTCAGGACAGGAACTGCCAAATCCCTGCACGCCTAGCTATACTTGCTGCTACTTTTTCCTGGGGATAAAATCCCAAACATGGATTCATCTGCTTGACACATGTAGTTGCATGTTGTTGCTTTCCTTTTATACACTTTTCCATACTTGCAAAGTAAACAGAGGGCTGAGAGCAGGAATCAGCAGGAGCACTTATTGCTCAAGAAAGTTTTCTTTACAGGCAATGATACATTTGTCTCTCTGAAAGCTAACTGTGACATAATTATTTTTCATTTAAAGCTTACTGCTGATGTAAAGTAAACAAAGTCCAGAAGTCTGTGTGCAAAAGTTCTAGAGGAGTGAATGAATGTGGAGGAGGAGCCTCCACGTATAGTGGGATTGACATGAGGAGATAATTTTGCTCAAATTGCTTCCATGTCATCAGTTTTACAGGACGTTGAATAATATCATGCAAAAACAATTAGAATTCAAACCCAAGCTCCAGAAAATCATCTCAGTGAATTTGTAGATTTAAACAGTAAAAACAATGAAAGTAGAAACGGTCACAGTGGTCTTACTTCCACGGAGCACACATTTCATTCTATGTAAATGCTGGTTATTGTCCTGCTTTGTAATTAGACCGTCACCTCATGCAGCTGCAGTGGCATGTGAAGTAGGAGGCGTTACTGTAAGCCACTTTAAAGATATTTCCTTTGTGTGTGGTACAGGTTCTCCTTAATCTCCTGTTTTAATTTTTACCTTCTTTCCAGACTGTAAAATTACACCATGTGTTTTAAAAAAAAGCACAAGTAAAACCTGGCTGCTCGTTTGATCATCGAGGACTCCAGCTGTGTGGCTCACGTAGTGTTTGTCTTTTGGGAAAATCAGGCCGTTGTGATTTAGGTGAATTTTACAACGTCTCACACACTCATCTGTGTTTTCCAGCCATCTTTGTCATAGTTTAACAGCATAATCAGATATGACGTTATATGGCAATAAAATAGCTCATGCAGCAAATAAGGGGTAACACCCTTTAAGGATGATAAGCAATGCTTCACTTACTCTTAGTTACGGTGTCGTTGATTCGAAAGCTGCACAGCACTTTGTCAACATTTCGGGCGTGAAGGAATCCACTTCCTCTCACCACCACTTGGAAGGACTCTGACAAGGCGAAGTGAAACACATTATGTCACCTCATCTACAAAATATTATTGAAAATAAATGAAGTTATTTCATCTTCTTTGGTCCAAAGTAATCCCAAGCAGCAGTTTACATACACTTGTGTTGAGCATGAATGTCGTGGAAATTTGGAGCTTTTAATAATTTCTTTCAACAGTTCTTTTTCCAGGAGAAATTAGTTTAAAACAAGAACTGGGTGTGCAAGTTGGATTTTCTCTAATCCACACAGGGTCAAGTGTGGATTCCCCTCAGATGAGAGGAAAATGATGTTCAGGAAGACAACTAAACCAGCTGTCAAGCATGGTAGTGGTAGCATCATGCTCTGGAGCTGTTTGCTGCCAGTGGTACTGATGAACAAAATAGATGGTAAAATGAAGGAGGACTACCTTCTTTGACACATTTCCAATAGGACAATGATCCCAAACAAATATCCCTAACATTAAGCTTCTTGAATGTCCTTCCCCAAGTTCTGACGTCAACCCGATTGAAAATTTATGAACCAGGTCTGTGCCGGGAAACCAACAGATTTAAATGAAATCTACCAAGTCTGCCAAGAAGAGTGGTAAAATATCCAGCCAGAATTACTCCAAAAACTCACTGATGGCTACCAAAAGTGTCTTGCCGGATACAGTTTGGGACATTTAATCAAATATTAGTGTTGGCGTATGTAAATGAGCCTTTATGCATATTTGTGACCCTGAAAAAAAATTAAACACCCAATTCTTGTTTTGTTTTGTTTTTAAATTCATTAAAGACGTAAGCCGTACAATTATTACACTCTGGAAAAAGAAGACTTCATTAAAAGCTCTCAACTGATAGATTTCGATTCATGATATCCATGCCCATGATGACTGCTTGAAAGCTTCTGATACAAGTATGCCATCCTAGAAGGTAAATGCGCTCTAGGAAAAGACTTTTTGGCATACTCAAATTCATTCACCATCTTAAGAAAAATCCTAATATTATAATGAGTGGCCTGAGGAAGGTGAACTAGAGTAAAGTTTTACCTCCTGCACAGATACTGGATGGTTCTGCTGCCAGGATCTCGATACAGGACTTCTTCAGGATCTGAGGGACACATTGAGATAAGCACTGTGGTTTTCCTGCTGTCCATCTTTCCCTCGTGGTCATCTATTTCTTTCCACTTTGAATGGCAACTTTGAGCCAAGTCCACTTTTATGTCCTTATTAAATAAACTTTTGCTCCCATTTACATCCTGCAGATGTACAGTATTATCAGTGTAACGGAATACATGTACCGCCGCTACGCAATTAAAATACAAAATATGAGTAACTGTATTCCGTTACAGTTACTGTTTAAAAAGGTGGTATTTAGAATACAGTTACTTTGTTGAAATAAATGGATTACACGGCGGTACTTCC